GGGGGGGGGGGGGGGGGGGGGGGGGTCTCAAGATAGAGGCACAAGGAAGGGAGGGAGTGAGGAAGGAAAGGACGAGGACATAACAAAAGGAAAAACAATACAATTTATTTGAGATGTGCCAAAAAATGGAACATGGAGAAAATGGAAAAGAGGAGTTGAGATGAGATCTTGTGTGCCCAGGTCTTTTCCAATAGCCCCCAGTATTGATGCTATTCATCACTCGGCAGAAAGACTGCGGCTGCTCTGCGCATACAAGGGGTCCATACATCAACTTCATCATCCATATAGCAAAACAAGCTGGTTGCCACTGGAGGCGGCGAGTTCACTCTCTCTGGCCGTAATAACTGTGTTTCCACCGGGCTCGGGAACGCCACGCATGTGCACCAGGCAGCCTGGACTCTGCGGCTCCCACCCGTCAGCAAGGCTACATAAATTCAATTTGTTTACAAGAGCCCCGCCGCTGCGACACTGGGCCAAACAGCCCGTGGTGTTCAGCGTAGATGCGTGGCAGGAGACGGGCGAATGCATAACATCGGTCGACTAATTGGGTCAGAGTAGATGCAAATGTGAAACGTAATTCAAGATGACTGCCGCGGTCGTGCACATTTGTTTGCTGCACATTCCAGATCTCAGCCCAGAGGTTTCTGGGAAATATTGACCCCTGCAGTGTGTTGAAGTTATGCTTCAATTATAGACCGTACACAAATACTTTATCACTGACAAACTGCTACCGCTGTAACGGGCCGAGTGCCCGCTCGCAGTTATGAGGAAGCCGAACGGAATGACAAATGAAATGGAAGAAAAATCTTTCCCCCTTCCTCATCTGCATTGAGACAAAACAAATATCCTGCCTCTGCACTGATTGATAACATGCAGAGCAGGTACACCTCATATCCATTACTCTGGCTGCAGGATTATACACGCACCTGCCAGCTCCCACTTACAGTTCGTCCAGGATTAACACCTCTGGATCCCTGCTCCGCTCCTTAACTAGTAGACAATGAAGATCTGCAGGAACTGTATCAGTGGCGACTTTATCACTTACTTCTATTCTTCTTTCTCAAATGATCTCTTTCACATTTCCTATTTACTTGATTTCTACAACCTCAAATGTTATCTCTGTTCTTGTCTTGGAAATATCAATATCAATATTTCCAACTCGAGAGAGTTCTGTTTATCTTTTATGGGATTTTAGCTTTTTCTTTTTCTTTGCTTTCCTGGTTTGAATTGGCTCAGTTGGATAACACAGACATGCACATGTACGAATAAGAAATGTTTTAATTTAACTACATGTTACCTTGTTTTCTTTACACCGTCTTTAAGAGGCTTATCGTTTGACCTTTATTGGTCGTTTACTTGTAAATATGAAATATTATTGAGATACTTTTGGTTTGAAACCAATAAGAGGTGGAGATGAGAGGAACCCAGACGATCGTCTCTCATATTTCTGTCTGTGCCGAGACAAATAATTACACCAGAGACAATATTTCAAAAGTGGACACGTGTATTTTCTAAATCTCTGGTGTTAAAATGTCATTGTTGTTGCTGCAGAGTAGAAATGGTCAAATTAACATCCAGTGGTAAAAATTCCCACGGCTTGAAGGTCGATACCTTTTTTAAAAAAAACCCTCTAATGTGAGGTGAGGTCAGGAAGTTGAAATTCTTACAAGTCAAGCAGAACTAAAAAAAAAATAAAAAAAAGAAGGATTTTTCTTGTACGATTTGAAAAATATAAAAATGACAGTTCCAGCAGTCGAGGCAAAGTCACGACAGGTCATTTCAAACTGTGGCGCGCTGCATGCTAATTCAAAGCAACCACCAAGTGGTGGTGTGTTAGTCTCTGTCGTGTTGAAGGGAATACTGATGGAGAGAATATCGGTGTCGGTGCTTGTCCTCTGGCCTCACTCTGCACTACACGGTCATGACTCAACTAGCTCTTATATGTTCACCTTCTTTTCTGCAGCCAGCAAATTTGTATGATTTCATTTTTTTTGTTGCTGTGCTGCAAATATCTGAGGATGATTGATGATTGAGGGCTGACTCCAACAGAGAGTCCCACACACTACGATTTACAGTCAGGTGGAGTCGGAGAGCCTTCAGGATGACGGCGCCGTGCCTGCACTAGAATTAGAGCTGGAAGCCTGTGGGGGACTGAACGGCGTGTCATGTCTTTAAGAGGAAAAGTTTTTGAAAAGACTTAATCCTTGAAGAAAAAATCCCCGAGAGTTTGGAAAAAAAGTCGAAGTTAATGGAGAGAGCTTGAAACATCAAAGCCTGAGAAAATAAAACTCTGTCTGTGCTTATCAGAAACAAGAGCTGGACACACGGAAGGATAAACGTCTGTCTGTGCGATGATTGAATGCAGGTCAGCATCATGTCGTTAGTTTCATAGAATTAAAAATTTAACGCTGTATAAAGATTGAAGTCACTAAAGCAGCGTTCAGACGTGAACTGATTCTCCTGAAATTCTCAACCTTGAGTGTGAAGAGGATAAATCATGTGTAGAAATAAAATTATTTGACGCATCGATCATCGTTTTATCGTTGAATCGTAGCGATCGGAATCCTGAGGCGCCTGAGATGTCCCCGCCCCTTTATTCCTATCACTCATGGTCCCATTACATCAGGTTTGCGACAGAATGCATCAGCGGAAATATAAATAAGCTGTCATGTTGGAACCGCGGCTTTAAGGCATTTAAAGTTTCCACTGGATTTACGATAATCACTTCACGAGGCCTTCAGCATGAAACCCAGTCGACAGCCACGAGGCTGCTGGCACCGTGGATGGCGTCGCTGCCTGGTTAGAGCTGCTTGTTGCTGGCACCCCGTCCGACACTGTGTGAAAGCCCGCTGTGATGGGAGGGACACCGCTGATGGAAACATGGACGCTGTTTTGGCA